AAAAGGAATTGCTAGCAGTAATATGTATTATTAAAAAATAAGATTTTATACAAAAAGCATATAAATGATCGCTGTTAATGTTTTCATGTTTTTAAAACATTTGAAAACATGTAGAAATAAATAAAATAAATGAATACTTCAATAAACAGTCCAGAGATTGTAGATAATAAAAGAGATTGGTTCATTCTTCATGTTTATTAGTGATAGATCCAAAATCCTTCCTAGACGACTCTACTATTCTCATATACCTAACCTAATCTAATATTTGAAAGTAGAATCTATGCAGTGGAGATTTTCCATGATTCCAATTTATTTCCAAATTGCAGCTTTGTTTCTGACAGCTTTAAGTCTCTGGATTAAATTATTATTTCCCCTTTCTCTGTATTTCAGGACTGCTTTTATGAAATTTCAAGGAAAAAAAAATTATCCAAAAACAGATGTCATGTCTCAAAAACTTTTTTTTTTATCAGTATGTAGAAGAACCCCATAGATACCTCAGGTATGCAAAATAAAAATAATGCTGGGTAAAAGAATATTATGAAGGGATATGGGCGTGTATAGTAAATCTAGCAATGAAAAGATGCACATTAATCCATGGGATTACATACTGCTATGTACTCTGATTTGTTGAATGAACTCAAAATTGATTGGTTTTGCTCAATTTTCTAAGGAATAAGCCATAAATCACCATTTCAGGAAAGTGGAACAATATTACCTCAGATATTTTCTTGCCATTCCATTCTCTTCCCCCTCCCACATTCTATATAACACATCCACTTGTATACACTCCCATACATTTACCACTATTCCTGTATCCTTCCATCTACATCTTACTTACAGTACACTTTCCTAAAATTGTATTTCTTTTTCATAATCAAACAATTCCATATATTTACTTTCCGTTCCCCACATTCCCATATTGAGCCTCAAGTAAAATTCTTCCCTTGCTGACAGGAGAAACATAGAAAGGAGTAAAATCTAACAATAGAGAGGTTATGGGATGGGGGGGATAGGTAAGATTCAATAGGGAGCTACCCTAAATTGTTACTCCAGGCCTACTATATGTAGTTGTTGACTTATGACCACAATTAAGCCCATCATTTCTGTTGCTAAATGAGATATTTGTTAAGTGAATTTTACCCCATTTTATGACCTTTCTTGACACATTTGTTTAGTGAATCACTGCAATTGGTAAGTTCATCACACAACTGTAAAATGAATTAGCTTCCCCAATTGACTTTGCTTTCAGAAAGTCGCAAAAGGGAACCACATAACCCTAGGACCAGTGGTGGGATTCAAACTTTTTTTACTACCAGTTCTGTGGGCGTGACTTGGTGGGCATGGCAGGGGAAGGATACTGTAAAACCTCCAGTCAGAGGTGGTATTTGCCGTTTCTCCGAACTACCCAAAATTTCCACTACCGATTCTCCAGAACTGGTCAGAACCTGCTGAATATCACCTCTGCCTGGGACACTGTCACTGTCATAAATATGAGTCAGTTCTTAAGTGTCTGGATTTTGATCACGTGATCATGGGGATGCTGCAACAGTTGTAAATATGAAAAAGTCATAAGTCACTTTTTTCAGTGTTGCCATAATGTTGAACAGTCACTAAATGACCCATTGCAAGTCAAGGACTATCTGTAAAATTCTTCAAGATCAGCAAACTGGATACATCAATCAACATTTGGCTCCTTATTACCTGAGCTAGCTTATCAATGCAAAGGAATATGATCCTTTTCATTTCAACTACAGACATATTAAAATTTGGTGTAACAGAGTCATGGCTTGTTATGCAATCAAGGATAGAAAAATCTTCTAGATTCCATTCACAGGCTGGCATCACTAATAAAAATGTTTTTTTTTTTTAAAGGGCTGGTACAGATTTTTCATTAGAGAATATATGAGCCATTTGTGTTATGTCATCACACCATTTCAATTCAGATTTGTGGTTGAATAGACAGGTTTGTAAAGGGCAAGCAGCACTGACACTTTCTATAAAGGTATAAAAGGAATGTTGCTTTTCTAACAATGAAAATATTTTCAGAGTAGGCCTTCAGTTGTTATGGTGATATGTAATTAGTGAAATGTCATCAAAGCCGCATCTCTCATTGCCTTATTTAGTTATCTTGGATGATTCCAATGACTTTCCTCCAGATAATAGAATCTAAACTTAGCCATTTTAAAAATCTAAAATATACTTCTTTGTTAAAACCCAGCATAAGGAGTCACACAAGCTTTGTTTATTTGAAACATAATTCTCTAAAGACAGGAGATTAGCAATTAAGCCTTTAATCTACTTTGAGATATTTGTCAAGTAAAAACTAGTTCTTTGCTATAGAGAAATAACTTGGATAAACAAAGACCAAGAATAAGCCCAACAGCCATATCTCCTGTTTTTGTTCTTCAGTGACTCTCCATTTAGTTTTAAAAGAAAGGGTAATGAGACAGCAAAACCAAGTGCACCACCTAATATTTTTGTAGTTCTTTCAATCACAACAGGTAAAACTCTTCCAATTTCATTCCATTTGGAGATAACAACTGTGCAAACCTAAAATAAAATAAAAACTGGAAAAAAACAGGGAGTGGATGAGAATAGAGACAAACTCTCATCCAAAATTTAAGATTGCTTTCTTGAACCTAACATGTTTCACATGCATTGAAATCACAGCCTCGGCCTATAGTCAATCTGGCCACATGACCATGGAAATGTCTTGAGACAATGCTGGTGCCCTCAACTAAGAAACAGAGATGTGTACCACCCCCTGACATGACTGGACAGGAGAAACCTTTGTATTCCTTCATCTATGAAGTAGAAAGTTGGACAAGCTATCCTAAAACATAAGTTATGAAAAGAGCTTTCTAAAATGTTACCTCTGGCAGACATTGACTAAGGTATCCATCAGGCCTATTTTGTTTCTGTCAGCCTGTGTAGCCTAGATAAATTTACTGGGCTCTTGAAAGGATTCTTGGGGGAGGGGGAGTGAAGGCCTCTAAACACTTCATCTATATAAATGCTAAGTATGACAAATAACTGCTATTTATCCAATGGATTATTAAGAAGACATAATGCTAAAAGAATCAATGACACCATCTTTTCCTTTGTCCACAGAAGATTTTCTATCTCTTTTCAATTCCATATTGTAGTACTTTGATATATCCCAGCCATTCATTATCAGAAAAGAGTTAGAAAATGCAGAGTTTGGCCATCAGTTGATATGAAAATGAGAAACAGGACATGAATGTCTGATACCATGGGTCTTCATTCTTGAGGCAGAAACCTTGCACTTGGTATAAATGACTTCTATAAGTCTACAAAATAGCTCATTAATATCCAGTGGCCTAGTGTTAACTGCTTGGTATGATGACAAGAATGAATGTGTCTGAGTTTATTAGCCAAAGTGCTAACAATTTTTCAGTTTTAATACCTACCTTTGAAAATCTGTTTGCAGCTCAATTGAGCATAATGCAAAAGTAACTAGGGTGGTTAGAAGCAATAACAATAATAATACCCTCTGACTTATGGGGCAAAAATGTAACCTTTCAGAAAACAGGAACTGTATTAAGTTCTACAATAATAAATGAGTGCAGCCTTAAAACAAAATCCAAATATAAAACTTGGAAGTAGAACATGGTCTTGCTTAAGTGCAGCCTATGAAATCTGATTCAGGATGCTTCCCTAGTAAAAATGATACACTAATTTCTAAGCATTATGCATAATAATATACTTTCAAGTAACTGTTTCCAGTCTGAATGAAAGAAGCAACCTATCTTGTTTTTGCATTTTGTAGTTCAATGGTATTTTGATTGTTAGATGTATAACAAGAACACCATGATAGATTCCCTGGGAGATAATCTAATATGTCAGGGATGGTGTACTTACATTATGCTTTCAGCTGGGGATAGTCTTCCATGTGTCTGATCTGTTACTATTTACTGAACAGATTTTTCTTCCGCTATAGATGTTATGCATTTTCTAAGAATCAAGATACTGGTATATTAATGAGTCCTCTAGTGCAGTGGATCCATTATTCATTGACTCTTCCATACAAAAAGCAATTCTTTTCATTTGTGGAACATTGTGAAATCCAGTACAGATTCTTGTTACAGGATCTAAGAGGAGATAGTGCTAGTTAAATTCTCACTACCCATCCCCCAACAAGCATACACTGTCAGCTTTGGAAGCCATATTAGCACCAGACGCTTCCACACTGCCACATTATTGAGCCTGGGGAAATGTGAGGGGGAAATTTCTTGGAGTGTCTATGGTTAGACATAATAGCATTCTTCTTCCAAGTCAAGGTCATGTTATATCTGTACCTGGATGAGGAGTGGCTGAGGGTACATCTCAAGTTGGGATGGATGGTGATTGGGGTATGTGATGCAATGAACGGTGCAAGGGGTGACTTTTTAATTATTAAAGGGAAACCCTGAACTTTCATATTCTGGATTTCCCAGAGGTGCCAGTTTACTACTCTAATAAAAGGAACCTTTGAGAAGATGTCTGTCTCAGAGTTATTAATTGGAGTTGAGGTTTTCTGGAATGCTGCCATACACATTTCTTCCCCAGGGAAGTTCCTAGTCTTCTAATAGCTTTTGAATCAGCACAAGACCTCCACTTTAAAGCATTTACTATTATTAAAGTCGTATCTTAGTGACCATATAGATCGTCCTTCTCCAGAATGATTTATCCTGGCCTCCTAGAGGTGCATCCACTATCACTGTAATTGAAAGCCCCCACCTTGTTAGAGATCATCTTCTTCCCTTTCTCCAAACTTTCCCACCATTACACCCTTCTCCATAGAGTTGGGTCTGCAAATGATATGTCAAAAATATGTTAATTTTCCCAATTAATCTCTTATTGAATTATAAAGTATTATAAAATACAAAATACAAAGTAAATAGAAAAGCAGGGGGCAAGAGTGAAGAAAGATAAGAAAAAGAAAGAAAAAGAAGCATTGACTTCTGACTCTCTCTGTTACAGTAAAATAAAACATTAACATCAAATCACAACTTTTCACTTTTTCATAATAATATGAACAAGCCATTTCTATAAAGATCCATCTGTCTAATCAGTAAAACCCAAAGTCAAAGTTTCATTTTTTTCCACATCAAGCACAAAGTTCAGAAGCAGTTTCCGCATGAAAATGAAAGAACTTGTGTTCATTAATCAAAGTGGTCAATTTTACTATTTCAGCCAACTCCATCAACTTCTGCAACCATCCGTAAGAATCAAAGTGTCCTTCCATTTTTGTGCATACAATAGTCTTGATGCTGTCAACATACATAATAACAAAGTTCCAATTTTTTTTCTCCAGTTCTTTTTCTATTAGACCCAAAAGGGGAAAAAAGGTGGAATATAATTCATATTTTAATACAGAAAATTTTGAAAATGAAGATAAAAATGAAAAAAATAATAATTTGGTCATTTAAAACATCAGTAAAATTTTTGCAATGTTTTATTTCATTTCTTGGTTTATTTGTTTTGGTTTCTGGATTGGGGGGGGGGGGTATCTTGATTTATCTTTTTTTTAGCTATCATAGTATTTGTAACAGTCTTTTCTAACACCAAAGCACAAAAATCTGATATTTTTGGTCGTCTTGTTTCTTCAGAGTCTATTATTATGTATTACTTTCCTGTTTTCAATAGGTAAAACATAAGTCAAGTACCACATGCAACAAACAAGCCTAAATCTAATCCACTTGGTTTATAAATAGGTGTGTATTGTACTTACTTAACTACCGAACATTTTAATCCAATTTATATCTTTTCTGCATTTATTTTCTGTGAATTTGTGAAGGTGGTGAGCAGACCTATTTTCAGACTCCAATTTTCATCTTATAATAGGTAAGCCTTTGTTTGAATACAATTAAACAGATGCTTTCAACTTCTGTTTATCAGTTCTTTGCTTTTATTCAAACATAAACAGTCTACTAAAGATGGGGGGAAAAACCCACACACATTATATAAAGTAGGAGCAAGACCTTATCATAAATGTAGAAAATAAAGAGAATTGAAACTACCGAATTGCCTTCGTTCACTTATTGTATCTAATAACAGCAGGCATTGTGCTAAAGTCAGTAGGAACTGTATTGCAGTACAAAGGAACAGAGAAAATAATTCCAGTTGGTTAGGACTATTAAATATACATTAAGGATGCAATTCTAAACACAGCTTAACCTTCGTTCATTTGACATTTATATGATTAATGGGGGTAAGAAGCATGGCACTAATCCTTATTATGTCTTGGGCACATTCCATGGCTAGGCCTCCTGATGTTCCTGTGTTAGGGAAATGCAAGCAAATGCTTGCAAATTAATTTCTACCTTTTGCTTTAATTGTATAGATCCACAGTTATGAGCAGTTACTCATAGAGTTTATTTTATTTTATTTATTTGTCAATTGCTTACAAGATAATAGAGATTAGAATAAACATAAGTATAAATACAGGAAATAGGTATGAATAATTGAGGACAATAGGACAGGGATGGTAGGCACGATTGTGCACTTATGGACACCCCTTACATACCTCTTAGGAATGAGATGAGGTTAATAGTGGTTAGTTTGAGGGGAAAGGAGTGGATTTGATGATATAACAACTGAATCAAGTTCCAGGCATTGACCACTTTGTTGCTGAAGTCGTACTTTCTGCAATCAAGTTTGGAATGGTTTACATTAAGTTTATATTTGTTGTGTGCTCTTGTATTGTTGCAGTTGAAGATGTAAAAATCATTGACTGGTACTTATATTATAGCAGATGATTTTGTATACTATGCTTAAGTCAAACCATAGGCGGCGTAGTTCTAGGTTGTCCAAGTTCAAAATCTCAAGCCTGATGGTGTAGGGTATTCTGTTGCAAACAAAGGAGTGTGGTACTCTTCCTGTGAAATACTTCTGGACAATTGCATTAATGTCCAAAATACGGTGCGGATTCCAGACAGCCGAGCTATATTCAAATATTGATCTAGCAAATGTTTTGTATGTCCTAGTTAGTAATTCAGTATAGTCCTAGATAGATCCACATTTTTTGTTTGTTCTGTCTTCAATATAGGTCACCATTAATTATTTAACACAAGGATGAATGTACCAACTCCTGCTGCAAATACATCTTTCACCTGTGCTGTTTTCTGTCATTTTAAGTTCACCCAAGCAATTAGTCTGCTGCACTTATTTCTATCTAGCAGCAACTGGCTAGTGTTTGGCATTCTGCTTCTTTCCAGAGCTGGTTGCTGCCTTGTTCAGAAATTTCATCCTGAACTTCAGGGCTCCCATTTTCTGTATTTATTCAACTGCATTTTTGAAACTGCATTTTTAAATGCCTTGTAATTGACCCACCATTGTCCTATTAAGTCAGTGACTTTTCCCTAACCTCTGTTTCTCCATTCCCTCTAGAAACTCATTATTAGATTCACTGATTACAACTCCCAGGGACCTTCTTTTCAGTTTTTCACCAAACTATATTAAGCTTGCTCAACTCTTTGCCACCTCTTGACACCCCAGTACTGTAAAGCTTCCCTTTCCTCTTTCTCCTCTCTCTCCAAAAAGTTTTTGTTGCAATGTTGAAATTAAACTACAAATGCTAATTTTCTGTTACGAAGATGGACCATCAATCTTTCTTTGCTACAAAGCATCTATGTAGTGTCTGTGTGTCTGGTGGGCAGGGGAGGAGAATTACCAAACAGGACTTGTGATGGCTTTAGTCTGGAATGACCACCATCCTGGCCCATTTCTCAAGCTACTGAAATTCACACTGAAATGTCAAAATACTGTTTCAAAGGTGCCTTTTTTTTTCTTCAAAAGGCAACTGGACAACAATGGAAACTCAACCATGCAATTAAATTTTGGTGAAAATGGAGGAAAAGTCTAATCACCGACAATTCAGAGTAGAAATAATATAAAAATGATAGTGTAAACCATAAAGTAGGCTTACTTAAAAATATGAAAAAATTCTAACTTCATCTTGTACAAAATATACCCTGCCAAATTCAAATCACAACCATTTTCATGGTAGCCTTTATTTCATACCAAAGGAAACTCATCTATTAAAAATATTGACTGTAATACATAGAATTGTGTAATGAGGCACTTGTTCAATATGACAACAAAAAATATCAAAGACAGATTATTTTTTAAAAAAACTAAAATCTTCTTTTCATCAATCAATCCATTCCTCAAATCTAATAGCACTATCATGAAATAAATTTTATGCAAACAGAAATAAATAATAAATCCTGTATGCTGATTGCCTGTCCATTGAGACAGCCAGATCAAAACCAAAATTTTGCAATGCAGCAAAGCATAATACTCTATTTAATAGTATTTTAAGCACTTGATGGGTATATTCTACAGTGTATAAAATCATAACACAGCATAATCTCCTTAATCAAAATGCCTCATTGCCTGCATTTAAAGCTACAAATTTTGTAAGTGAGGAAGAATTTCTTACCAGTTGATTTCTATTCCCAGTCAGCAAGTTATAAAGAAGGTACCAGTTAAAAAGTCTACTAAGTACAAAATATTTCTTACACTTGTAAGCATTCTCCACAGATACGCAGCCGCCAATGTACACCATAAGGCTGAAAGAAATTTTGCTATAGTCCTATATTTTGAAGATATTGATATTCAGATAAATATGCTCACAGACAAATAATCATTTGAACTCTGTTTACACTCAGTGGTAATTATAAGATTGTTGCTGCTATCAAACCAAAGTTTAGCTGAGTAGGAAAATTGAACCAGAAAAAAAAACCTGTTTAAAAGAATATAAAGCATAATGGAAACTTTTTATAATTGATATTATCAGTACTTTTTGTTCTTTTTCTTTCCTATACTGCCTCTTTCCTTAGGTGAATAAAGATGGCAATATAGTTTGTGAATACAAAATCTTGAAGTAGGTACTAACATGTTTTATTCCATTTATCCTCAAACATTCTCTTATTGTTTTCTTTTAAACTAAAATAAAATGTTATGACATTAATCAGAAATTGTAATGCATACATGTCTCTTTAGGCAGCTATTATCATGCTTAATGCAATTAATATCCTATGATATAGATAATAAAAACATTAAATAATTGGTCCTAGGAGTTTTCCACTTTTGGGTCGTAAGGGGTGGTACTCATCAAACCAGACAGAAATGGTTTGCAATTTAAGAGTCTAGGGAGTCCTTTTGAATTCATAGCATCTGCTCAAAAAGCAAGCAGCAGGTGAGGCCATGAGAATCTTTGCTCCCTTTTATCTGATGCACCATTTGGGACCCTTCCTAGACTGGGAATCTCTTCTCACAGGTGAGTCTTCTTTTACTTACCTTGCAGATGAGCTGTTGTAATACTTTATATGGGACCATCCTTGAAGACCACTCTGAGGCAGCAGGTCAGGAATACAGGCAATTATGCAAGTAAATGCATGTCGTATTTCTGACAGAAGGAAAAAATGTGCTCTATGGGTTAGGTTCTAGATGCAATTGAAGGTGTTGGTTGTTACTTGCAAACCCATGTCCTGCAACATCTGCCAGCATAAGCATATTCTGGGTGCTTTCTTTAAAGCAGTTCCATCTGATGAGACCCAGGAGACATACCCTAAAGGACCCTGATGTCCTTCAAATGAGGTTTATACAGCTGAGGTTTTTCCTTATGCTCTGGCTTAGATGGCATATGTATCTGGTTAAATGTGAGTGGGGTACATTGATTTCCTGGTAAATGCCATTTTTATCTGTCTTATTACATTTGGTTTTGTTTTTAATCTGCCCCAAATCATTACAAGTTATAAATTTGACAAATAAATATAATTGTGCAGTATTGGAGAATAATCCATTGAAAAAGTCAATACATTAAAAACATGCTGAACTGTGTATTAAAAAAGAATCTCATGAAAATATTTGTGAGGGCTTAAGATGAAAGCAGCAAAATTCTGAAACTGTTGTGGAAAGAAACCAAAGTAAATTTAGACTCATGAAAACAAGACACTGAGTGAAATTGAAATTGATTCATCTCTTCCTACTCCCACTGTCTAGT